AGAGAGAGAGAGAGAGAGAGAGAGAGAGAGAGAGAGAGAGAGAGAGAGAGAGTTTTGCCTGAAACCCGAGGAGAAAGACGGTGAGGGGGGAGAAAAAGCAATTATAGCTGATGAGGAGGAGGACAGGAGGAGGGAGGAGTATTAGGAAACGAAGCCGACGAGCCAAAACGAGGGTGCGTTGTGTTCCGGGGAAGACGGTCGTCGGAGGTTGGCGGAGGGCGTTGTGGAAAACGGCGCGAACCCAAAATGAGCGAATTAATAATGAAAAGCAAAAAGTAAATCTAAAAACTTAAAAATTAAATACTAAACATCCTCAAACAATTTCTCGATTTGTGCGTGTCATCCTTCCGCGGTGTGCGTCAAAGTCATCCTTCCACTTTTCTCTCTCTCTCTCTCTCTCCCAAGGGAATTCTTGAGGGGGGACTCCTAATGGACTTCGAATCTGTCGTTGGTGGCAGAGAATCGTTTGTTTTTTTTTGTTTTTTTTTTTTGATGATTTTTTATGAGTCTCTGGTTTGGATGTTCAGCATCATTGCGTTTTTTTTATTTTTTATTATCCAATTGGCTTGTCCTTATTTGATTCGATGTCGGTTCTCTTTGAGTGCGGTATGCGATGAGGGATTCTTTATTGGGGGGTCACAATCTTCATTCCCATGCGCATGAGAGCAGGGGCTGTTTACCGACAGATCCTCACCGCATCTGGTCGACGTGGCGAGTCGTTATCCATCAGTCAAATGCAGCATGTGGTCAGACTCTCTGTCCAGGTTCAACCTCCTCAAAAGTCGGTGAAAGTCCGACGAAACAGTCTCGCACAGTCTATCTATAGCGAACATCACATTTTACACAAACACACAAACAAACACACACACACAAAAGAAAAACGAAAAAAAAAAGAAAAGAAAAAAAAGGGAAAAAAAAGAAAAAACGAAAAAAAAGAAAAGAAAAAAAAGGAAAAAAGAAAGGAAAAAAACACCACACCACGCCCACACACGCAAAAGACGAGCAAAAACGCAAGCGCACACACACACACACACACACACACACACACAGAGACAGGGGCACAGAGATGGCGTTAAGGGGAAAAAAAAAAAAAAAAAAAAAAAAGAAAGAAAGAAAGAAAAAGAAGAAGAAAAAGAAGAAGATAATAGAAGAAGAAGAAGGTTTCTGGGAATGGATATAATGTATTCAAGTCCACGACCATCCGGCACGGATAATATACAAATCCACAGGCAAGGCGTCTGTCTCATCGGGATCCCAGACCCATCGGTCGGTGGGGCCATCATCGCGACACCCTGCGCGCACACAATCGCCGTGCAGCAGAGAGATAAGGAACCTGTTGAGTACGCCCAGATCCCGACGAGGAATCTATATTTATAGTATATATATATTGTCACAGCCCCTCGTTTGTTGTCCTCTTCTCCCTCTCTGCCTACGGTTTACCGGGCAGTTCTATTTGACGATATATATATATATATATATTTGCATATGATCTACGCCCAGACCCCGAGAATGACAATGTGTATAATCCAAGATGGAATGGATTTGCAAAAGCCACGACGGTCCAAACCAGGGGCGAGGTCCCACTAGCAACATGGATTGGATTGAACGCCTGAATCTAGACGTGTTCCTGGAAAAGTGCAGAAATTCGAGATTGAACAGCTTTTCTGCACCTCTGCTTAAAACATGTCCAGATTCAGGAGCTTAATCCAATCCTCTTTGCTAATGGGACCATAATCCAGATGGCGATGAGATATGATCATCGTGTCAGGCGCGCATCCTCCACCTCAAGACAAAGAGCTGCTGATGAGGATGCGCGCAAGGACCAAGGGCAATCGCGACCCCGACCAGATCTCACGGTTCCGCTCATCCTGAGAACCATAAGGGGATGATGAGTAAAACGACAGGTTCTCTCGTTTGACCCCCGTGCGCACCCCTCCTCCCCTCCCCCTTCCCCCCCCGCTCCCTCCCCCCTCCTCCTTCCCCCGCTGGAGCTCCGTCCCCACTGCACACTCCCATCCCGCTCATTTCATTGCCCCTCCCCTCCTTCCCCCCCTCCTTTCCCCCTCTTCCCCCCCTCCTCCTCCTCCTCCTCGCCCTTCTCCCCTCCTCTTCCTCTTGACGACTTCCCTCACCCCCCGAACACAACGCACCCTGATCATCCATCTATACAAGCTATCTTTCCGGTCCGATACGGTCACAAAGAGGGTGTATTGTGTTCGAGCGACGACTGTGGAATGATGGGCCGACGGACGATTGCAAGAGCACGTGCAACGTAGAACCTGCATCGCATTTTTTGTTGACGACGACTAAATTTATTTTTATCGCGGCGATGGAGATGATGGGATGGCGACACCCCTGAGGAGAAGGAGGAGGAGGAGGAGGAGGAGGAGATGAAGGAGAAGGAGGAGGAGATGAGGGAGGAGGAGGAGGAGATAAAGGAGGAGATGAAGGAGGAGGAGATGGAGGAGGAGGAGGAGATGAGGGAGGAGGAGGAGATGAGGGAGGAGGAGGAGATGAGGCAGGAGTACACAGTGTAAGGAAGACGATCATCGGTGAGGAAGACGACGACAAGAATGAGGAGGAGGAGGAGGAGGAGGAGGAGGAGGAGGAGAATGAGGAAAAAGTGAACGCGATGTGTGAGAATGACGAAGACGACGAGAGAAATGTTAAAGAGAGAGCAGCCATCGCCATAATTGCGAGGAAGAGGACGATGACGAAGGCAGAAAACCACCAAAAAAATGGAGATCATTAAAAAAAAATTAAAAAAATGATGGCGATGGGAGAATGGCGATGGCGGACTGGCGATGGAGGCGAGACAGGGAAGATGATGGCTATGTATGACGACAATGAACGAGAACGAGTAGAAAGGGGGAGGAGAGCGACTAGACGAAGAAGAAGCATACAAAGAAGGTAAGCAATTACCAAATTCGCTCTTTTTTATTACGCAAAATCGAAAATTTTAATTGGATTTTTTCCCCAGAACCAAGAGAGTGTACACACACTCTCAGCTAAACCGCCCACCCATTCCGCGGAATTTCCGCCGCCTCCTCTACACGTCGTGTCAATCCGAGACAGGATATGTGCGCTACGGTCTCATCAGGAGGGGCTAGCCACATATACCCTCCCCCTCCCTCGCCTTTCCCCCCTCCGCACTCTACCTACCACCCACGGCGAGCTACCGTCTTCTCACCTGGGAATAGAACGCTCGGTCATTATCCCTGTACCTAGATCAAAGGTGGTCCAAATTCATCAGCTATATAATGACCGGGCGTTCTCTAAAGGTGAATACGGTAAGTCTCTGATCATTACACAATGCAAACATACATGCTCTTTCTAGATACACACAAAAAAATCGCGCACGAGTCCTCGACGCCGCCTTTTTTTTCTTTTTTTTTTTGACGCCGCCTGTTTTTCTTT